TTTAAAAGCAAATAGGTCTACTGCAAAGTCTGTGATCTCTGATGTCAAAAATTCAGTCTGTGGCTGTAAACAAAATGAAGAATAAATTCCATTCAACACTTGGGGACTGGTAGGAGTGTGCATGCTACCAGTTGCAAAGCTGCTTTTGTCAGGGTCACTGTGACTGGGTTTCATGCATCGTGTGGCCCAACCTGTGTCTTTGGATGGATTTGATCTTCAATGCTGAATGTGCTCATAGTGTAAGATTTCAGTATATGATAAATATCCTGTTTGAGAGTGCTGTATGAATTATCTTTGCACAGCTGTCTATCAATTTACAGAACATTGGCAGCCAGCTGCACCTGCATGATGGAGCCTCTGGTAGCTCATTTTGGGCAAAACAGCATCCTGGTGCTGGAAATTGTAGATCAGGTTTTGAGATGACCATGAAGTTATGAGATTATAATTTCAAGAAGATTATGAAGATGGGTTAATAGAAGTACAGTTGCTGATGCTCAAGGGAAAAGAAGGAAGAAGGTGTATGTGTGGGAATGAATGAAAAAGTTGGAGCTGTACCTTGTACTGCTTAGTTACATGTTGGGATTGCTTGCACATATTCTCTTCCTTTCTTGCCAGGGTATTAGATAATGGAAGGAAAACTAAAGWGCTTTTAGGTTTGTGGCAGTTCTGTAGAACTTCCCTAGGAGGAAAAAATTGCTTGGAGATTTTTCATGAGAKCATCTCCCCTGGAGGGAGCTGAGTATTTTTGACTTGCTGTTTTTCATATGTACAAAGTAATGTTTGAGTTTGGTCTGCTTTCACTGTCATAGTGCTATTGAAATTGGCTCTGATATGGCTACTGGAAATAACAGAGCACAGCAGTGGCCATTGCTTGAGGGATAAACTGAAAAGAAAAGTGAATATAAAGGTAAAAGCAGGAATGAAAGGGCCCACRGAAGGATATAGTGCAGAAGCTGTAACTTCCTCTTCAGTTCAACAGGTGAGAGGAACTTGAGTGGGAATTGTTAAGAGTTGTAGTTCTCCACCAGATAAAGATGTAAGCGCTGCTCTCTGAAGAACAAAATCTTCTGATTTAGAGAGTGGAGSTGGCTTCTGAAGCCCATGTGCTGGGGATTGGGCAGCTTTTTTCTTTTTCTTAGACTGCACAGGAGTACTAAAATCCATCTGACAGGCTTCAGTTACTTGATTGTATTAAGGGTCATACCAAGAGTTCTTTTTTTGAGAAAGTGTTTTACGAAATTGTTGGATATTAAAAGCATAGGATATTGTGGGGATTAAAAGGAAGATCTCCAGAATGACTTTTCTGGACTTATTTTCTCATCCTTGCAGCAGTGTGAAATGCTGCTGTGTTAACTGCAATTTGGACAAAAACATTTGCTTCCAGAATTCCAGCAGACAAAACTCCTATGGAACTTAAAATTAAWTTTTTTTTTTATAAACAGAAGAGGGGTTCTGAGAAAGAAACAAAGATCTCACGTATGTGTCAAGTATAATTTTTTCATTAATTTCAGTATATGTAGTTCCAATAAATAAAAGCTTTTGGGTTTTTTATTTATTTTTTTTTTTGGAGGGGGGGAGGGGAATGGAGTAGTGACTCATTTCCTGAAAGCACAGAAGAAAAGGTTCAAAAAGAACTGAAAACTTTCGGAAGAGTGTGTTTTTTATAGTTAACACATGGTATTTTGTTATTGTTCCCRTGAAGGAGATAGAAATAAAAGGAAAACCTTTTTCCCCTGCCCTCCTAAATGCATATTTGAGTTTTCTAGTTATTGGTGTGCCTGTAGCCAAAAGGTATTTTTAGTGGTACTGATAAATGGTGGAAATGCTGCATAAAATTGCAGCTTTTGCATGAGGTTCTRGAGCTACTGAAAAGAAACTGGATTTTTCTTTCTTAAGTGTGTGGGGTCACCCTAATTACCTTTTTTTTTTTTTCCTTATTAATTACACTGCATTAGTTACTTTTATGAAAAGTAAGTACAGTTTGGAGTGCACAACAGAGTAGAAATCAGAAATGAACAGTGGCATCTTTTGTGTTTTTTGTTTTGTTTTTAATGTTTCAGTTGACCTTCACATCTGCTGCCTAGATTTCGCTCAGCTTCAACAGCTTAAGTAGCACCATCATTGTCCTGCTCCATCTCCTACTCATCTTCATCCTCTTCCCTGGCAACCCCATGAGATTCAATGCCAAAGATCTGGCCTTGCTGGCCAGGCGCCCATCGGGTTGTTTTGACAAAGAAGGAAAACTGAAGATTTGCAGAGTGGTCGGGGATGAAAAATTAATGGGTAAAAATGACTTGCAGTGAGAGCTCCTCCTGGTTGCTGTGCTTGCTTTGTGCAGTTGTTAGTTTGTGCAGTTGGTTTCACTAATCTCATCCACCTCTGTTTTTTGTTTTCTTCATTACTGATGCTTGACTGGCGCTAAATAAATTTCTAAATAATGAAGCTTAAAATTAGTTTGCTTCAAGTTTTCAAGTTTCCTTTGTCATATACTTGAGAAAGAGTACGAAGTCCTTAACATGATTACTTATTTTTCCTGTAAACAAAGGCTGTGTTTTTTCTGTTAGTAACTGCTATTCACCAGTCACTGGTTGCCCTGTTTTAAGAATTAGATATCCAGTTCCTCAGAATTTACCCCTCCTATTTCTAAAGACTGTGTTCTTTTATCAGTATAGATTTTCCATGGCTCACTTCCCACCTCCTTTGCAGGTTTCTTCAGGGTTTTATGATCATATTCTAAATGTCTTTCAATTTCCAGTAATCTTGAATAAATGTCTATTCCCTCAGTAGCTGTTAGAAAATAGCTCATGTTTAGTGGTAAAATCAGTCCTAACACAATAATTTCAGCAACAGCAAATGTTTTATTTTCACTTGTCCCAGCTGATCTTCATTGTGATTGTATTTACTTTTATTCTATTAGAAAAAAACCCCAAACAAGCTCAAACCCAGCACAGACTCAGTTATAAGGGGCTGAGTAAGTTCTGTGCCACATTTTCAGAACATTTTATATATGCCCTGGTAAAACCACAACATGCATTTTCTAATGATAAACAGCCAGAATTTCCTGTAGAGTGTGCAGCAAACTTCCTGGGCAGGAGACTTTAGGAAACATTCACTTCTGGCTACTTTGAGGTTCCTCACCAGGTTTATCTACCCTGTGTACTCATTGTAGGCAGCATATCAAGCCCTGCCTGGCTGATATCTGATGTTTTCGAGGTTGTTTAGAATTTTCCATTACTTACGAATATGTTGAATGCTATTATTGCTGATACTGCTAAAAACCTTACGTTAACTGGAGGRAGACCAAACATTTCTGTAGCCCAGTGCCATGGATTATCTGTGCCATGGTAAACAGCAGCAGATTCTAGGAAAGTGTTTAAGGAGCTGTTCATGAGTAGGATGTTCCTATTGCCCAGTAAATCCTTTTGTCTCCCAGCAATCATATCATGATCTCTGGAGAAGAAGGGTCATTTTTGTCAGGGCATGTTGGTCACTGTGGATCCTGTTMATTGATAGTTATTGTTAGTCTGACTAATACTTGAACTTGCTTATTTTTTACACGTACAGGGTAATGACTTTCCCAATACTATAGAAATTTATGTATCTTTTATCTGGAAAAGCTACAAAGCGAATGTGATTCCTTCCTTCTGAAGCCCACAGGATTCTGGGGCATGGAATTTAATCTTAGCAGTGTCCTGTACTTACACTGTAAAGCCACATACTCTGATATGATAACTGTGTTTAAGTTTTGGGTTGGTGGATGTGCATTAATTGTATTATTTTCTGTCTTGTCCTTGTACTTTAGTAGGTCTGAAAAGGTGTAAGAACTTCAATTTCTTTTCTAAGAACACCCCCCCAGGTTATTACTGAACACATTATTCTACTCTGATTTTCAAATGTTGCATATTGAAACACCTTAATTGAAATTTTCAAGAGGAAAAGAGAATGTTATTTATTTATTGTAACAAGACATCCTTCTCCTCAATATCATGTTTTTAGTGGTGGCCAGCTTAGGGAAATACAAGAGTTCCTCAGAGGAGGAATAGCAGGCCCAGAGGAGGAATAGCAGGAGGAATTCCTCAGTTGAGGAATAGCAGGCCCTTAAGGTACAGCTGTTCTTCCAGCTCCCTAGCAATTCCAGGTTGGCTGCTGTATGGAGCTACAGAGTTTCATGTGTCTTCTCAAAAATGCAAAATAATACATCTTGCTTAAAAAAATATTCCTTCCTCTTTTAAGAAGTGATCTCCAAAGAGATCACATTTGTCTGCAAGATCTGTATCTGTGTATGTTTATAATAGGTTTACGTATTCATATATATCTCAAAGTACATCTACAAATGTGTTTTTAAAAAGAAAAATAATGCAATATTAAAAATAATCTGTTTATGGAAGAACAACTTTTTAAAGCTTTTTAACCCACTCACTGAAAGTGAAGTGAAACATTCCCTGCTCTCAAAAGTTTGTTTATGTGCCTGCATGTGTCTATAAACAATAAGATGCTATTCCCACTGGTTAAACACCTTTAAAAAATGTAGTAAAATAGTAACAGCAAAGTGGCTGTAAATATTTGGATATCATTTTCCTCCTTTTTATCTTCTGAAAATTGTAAATTCAGAYTAGCATGTTCTAAGTGTAATAGTAAAAGTTTTTCTGTTTTAACATGGATTATTTTTGATCTCCTGAAATGAAGGGAGCAAAAGATGTTCCATGCCAAAGTGCCTGTTTCTGCTCCCATGTGAGGAAAAGGGAGAAAAGCTGAGAATAGTGTTGAGTGTGTACTGCAGCCACCAATCTCCCAGCTGCAGAGTAGAAGAAACCTTCTGGGAAGTTATTTGGCATCTGACAGCCTGTTGTGCATAGGCAGCCACTGAGTGAAGCTGTCTTTTTTTGGTTGATAATGATTTTCCTTTCTGACCTTTATAACTAATGCACCTGCTTTGAGAAGCATTTAATGTGCGAAGACAAAAGGTTGTTTTTATTAATCTCTCACTTCTTTGCATGCAGAACCGAGGGAGAGATGGTGCCGACTGAAAGGAAATCTGCTTTTTCTAATGAAAAATAAGGTAATTCATTYTCCTTCTGCTTTTCTTGATGTGCTACTTTAATGCGAGAACTTGAGTAATCCTTTTTCATGATAGCTATATTGGCATTGTGCTTTTAGGGATGAAAAAATATAAATCACTATTATTAGAAGAGTGGATATGAAAAAAATCCATTGTTTGCTGTCTGTAACATTGGCAATTCTTCATGATATCAACATCCTTTAGCTGAATCATAAATAGTCTATGCCCAGGGTCTGCTCGTAACATAGACAGGTCTAAATCCAGAGTTACTCCTCCAAATCCACTGGACTAATGAAAACAAAATCTCTCAATTAAGTGAGGCATTGTGGCAATGTTCAAGACGCAATTTSAGACCCCTAATACAATTTTTTAGTGTGGTTTTTTAATGAAATCTGTTACAAAGAATGGTATTATTTTCTCTCCCTTTGTTGTAAAAAGAAGTTATATGCCTAATATGAAAGGACTGTTAAAATAGGCTCTGACCCTGATGTGCAGTGGAAAGTCTTGCACGGGCTGCTGAGTGCCCTCATTTGTCATTGGCTTTATTGGGAGTTGAGGCCACTCATCTTCTGGAATGAACAAGCACTAAGTGTGGAATTGCCCTTTTTCYTGCCCTTTCTGTCTGATACAATGGACGTGCCTCTGTAGCTGCTTGAAAATAGGACTGGATTGCATTGAATTGGGGACAGTGTGCAGCTTGGGATGCTCACCTGTTAACAGGAAGTACTTTGTAATTGGCTTCCAGGATATTTCGGTGCTGTATGGACCAGCAGTTGTATGGGAATGATTGTACTGCTGGGCAGATTGTGTATTTTGTTGGAAACATTTTTCAATATGATATAGTGGCTTATTTTAAGMTAGTGATGAATGTGTGCATATGGTACATTTTTAAAGCAATGTTTGCTTTCAAAGCACTGTTTGGGAGCATGTGAGAGATTTCTGCATGTTTGCAAACAAGAGCAGGCAGTAGGACATCAGGGTTTCTCTGGCTTGAGTTTCATCCAGCTCATTCCCCTGGTGGTAAAAGGACTGACAAGTTTAATGTAGGTGACAGCAAGCTCATGGCCAGCCCTTTGTCACACCTTCACGTGTTATCATTCTGCTGTATGACTTGCAGAAACTATTTTTAGTGCAGGGCTTTAAATTTGAAACTCCTCTATTCCATGCTCCTCCAAGTGCCCTATTTTCACGGAAGCCTTGGCATTTTGTGAAACAGTTGGGGGAAATGTTTTGATCAACTTTGCAACAGTGAAGAAAGGAGTGGGAGAGTTTTGTGGAAATCAACTGCTAGGTCCACTCAGGCTTTTGAAATTCAAAGCTGTAATTTGAGAAACTTGGAGAGTGAGACACAAATTAATGGCTTGTTGCTGAAATGATTTAGGCTTGCAGGAAATAAATGGGAATTCCACTTGAAATGCTGCGCTTTGATGGAACCAGTTAAACAGGTGGGTGACTTTTACTCTACATCCAGTTCAGTGCTAGAAAACTGCATTTTATTCTGGTTTCTTTGTTTAAATAAATTTTCAAAATTTGCAGAAGTTATGGAAGGAAGCAGGAGATTTAACAAATTTTAGCTTATAGAAGAAGACTTGTGACATGATTAATGTCAGTGTGTTCAAAAGGTGACTTTATTAGGTACTTCCTTTAATTAGAGAGATCACAATAAGAGAGAAAGTTGGAAATGGAAGTCAGACAAATGAATCTGATCACGGAATGATTGGGCAGTGAAGCCCAGGTGTGGTGAGATATAGCAGGTGCTTAGTTTTAAAATGTCACAACCTACCAGGCTCACTACAGAGACCACTGAGTGATTAAAGGRCAATGTCTTACAATGGATCAAACTACATGATTTAGCACTTCCTAGTCAGCTTATATCCTAGGAATTTGTAAAACAGTCACTTTCAGAGGCTTCATCTGTTSGGTACTATAAAGGATAGCTTCTTTGACAAAGACAAATCTCTCTTGAATCTCATATCCATGTTTCAAAAAATGAAATTTATGGGCATACTAAGTAAAACCAAAGCAATTTGTGTGCTGTAAGGACAGAAAGGAGTGTACCCTGTACAGTTTTTCTTAAATTATTCTAGAAATGAACAGGTTTCCCATCTAAAGCAGATTGTTGGCCTAGGAAATAATAGTTTAAGTTTGGAGAGCTAGTTTGCCAGTATAAAAACAAAAAAATAGTGTTATGATAAAAGTTATTAAACATTTTAATAAGCAAAGTTGCAAATTTTCTGCTCTTTACTAGAATTAGGAAAGGTTTCAGTAGYCTGTTAATGCAGTGTGTGAAAGGTATGTCCCAAACAGCACCAATGAACACTTGTTCCCATTTTTAATGCTGGGATCTGACTTGGCTTAAGGCTTGACATGGAAGAAAAGTAACTGCTGTTTTGTAAGATCATCTGAGTGCTGAACAATTAACTCCAGAAGTCACTGTTGTGAAGCAAAACTGATTTGCTACTATTTGTAAAATGCTGTCAGAGACACGTGCATGTCTGCATATACAAATGCTTATAGTTTATTGCAARCTCTCATTTTAGTTAGATGTTCATAAATTATACTTCTTGTATGAGAAGAATCTTCTCTATGAAGTTGCAAAGGATGCCTCCCAGCTCATCTGTGTTGTAAATCTTAGGTAGGGTGGGAATAAATTTCCAGTGTAAGGAGAAAATATGGTTCATCCTTTCTCTTTTTCATATTTGGATGCATAAGCTATTAGGCATCCTAAGGACATTTATTTTCTTTGGTCTAGCAGTGGAGTTAGTTATTTGAACTGAGACACAGACAGCATTTCCTGGTCTTACTGTAACTTTTCCTTTGTAGGCTCCAGTGTGGTTCTGTGCAGTTTGGGTRGGTAGGTGGTTTTTCTGTTGTTTTTATCCCCCCGATAGATTTCCTACCATATTGCAGTGGTTGTAGATGGCAAGGTTAGAGCAGTGAGGGCTCTGCAGGAGTGGCCTCTGAGACAAAAGGTGGGGGCTCTGCACCAGAGCCACCACAGGACACAACTGTGCCCAGCAGCAACGCAAGTGATGCCTCTGGRAAAATGTATGCAAGAAAGGGAASGGTAAGAAATAGCCCTGCAAACACTGAAATCGGGGGAGGAGAGGATCTGCTCCAGGTGGAGGAAACYATGCAGGGCCACGTGGATATACTCTGAATGATCTGCAGCCAATGGCCTGTCCACACTGGAGTGGGCTCTTCTGAAAKGAACTGTCACCCACAAAGAGGACCCACGGTGGGCAGGTCTTTGAGATTTGCATCCCATAAAAGGGACTCCACGCTGGAGCAGGGGAAAAGCATGAGGAGGGAGGACTGTCAGAGAGGAATTATTATGGACTGACTACAACCCCATTCCCTGTCTCCCTTGTGCCACTTAGGAGGAGTGGAAGAGGAGGTTGARTAGTTGAGAATGAAGGAGTGTTAAGTCGTAACTTGGGAAAAAGGGGTTGGACAAGCTGTTTTATTTCTTGTCTTTGTTTCTTATAATCCAGGTCTATTTTAATTGGCATAAACTTAAATTGATTTTTCTTGGGTTGAATCTTTTTTGCCTGTGATGATTAGTGGCAAGTGACATGTCTGTCTTCATCTTAACCCATAAGTATTTAAAATTCATGCTCTCCCCCAGTCCTGTTAAGGAGAGGCAGTAATAGAGCAGGTGGGTGGGTGGCAGCCTGACCAAACCACAGATGGGATCCCCTGAGGGGAAACATATTTTGCTTACACCTTCCTATGTGAAATGCTCAAGCTTTGAGTTTGTGTGTGTAGGCTTTGTGTCCGCTTCCCAGCAAGTGGCAGAAAAAAGCCTAGTTTGCAGATAACAGTATTGAAAATTAAAATAAAAGCTGTTGTGAGTGCTGAAAGTATCTTATGTTAGAAGTTGTATTTTACACAAATGCCTGCATCCCATGAACACACTCAGTACAGGCTGATTTTGAAGGCAGACTTGGGAGCTGGGCTCCCTAAAGCCGTGGTCAGCAGTGTGACTGAGCTGGGGAACCTTGTACCAGACAGGTCTTTTAGAAAAATATTTGATGTTGTGCTGATCTTGGAGCTATTCTTACGGATCCTAGTCCRAAATATTTATTATGGGACTTGGCAGCTTTGTGAGTCACCTAAAATATCTGGTAAATGGTTCATATTCTTAGATTCTACCCAATTCCAGTCAGGGGGATACTTCTAGGACCTGATGATTGATTGTTGATTCTGGGAGAATGATTACTCAGTAGAAGCTGCTAATGTGTATGGTAAGTATTAGATATTTATGTACCTTTTTTCATTCACATACGARGGTACTTTTGATTAGAAATTTTGAATCTCTTTGAGGATTGCAGTATTGTGTATTAGTTTTTTCCTTAATTACAGATCAGAATTTATAGCACTGATTTTCTTGAGGAAAAAGACCCAACATAARCCAACAAAACTCAAGAGAGCAGTGATGTTTTTGTCATGCTGTTTAATTTCCTTGTTTTCTGTTCGTAGCTCTTTCAGAATAATTTTGTGGTTTGGTTTTCATGAAGGAAATTAACATATTACTTTGGCCTTTTTCAGTGTCTTAATCGTTATTGCCAATTCAGGGCTGGATTTCAGCCTAATTGTTGTTTGCCATATATGTGTGAATTTGGAGTYATTGCTAGTAACGTAAAGAAAGAAGCTACCTTATCTCTCTGTGGTTCATTGTCCCATATACTAATATTCCCGAATAGTAGTGCTGATACTTAAACAGATTTGAAAATTACTTTGCAGTCTATACACAAARAGGTACACTAAAAAGTACAATTATGATTTTGCATCTCAGTAATAGCTCCAGAGAGCCCATTTTGTTCTATTGAGTAAACATGTTCACATTGCTGCCTGTTTTTGAATATGTATTTAGGAATTAATTTAAAAATGGATTATTGATCAATGGTGTATAGTGGATTCTCTAGGAGAATCAGTACAGCACATTGTGTTGATCTTGCTTAGCTCGTGGTTTAATGATCCTGTGGAGGCAGCCATTC